ACAAAGAGGACTGGGACCACTCGAAATCTGAAAAATGTAGGGAAAATTCCTTGGGTCATTATTTACATTAGATGAAGAGCATTTATAATCAACTTCTGATTTATAGCATCTGTTGTCAGGCTCTATCTGGCTAAACAGGCAGGTACCCTGGTGGGCATCAAAATTCTGGTGAAGGCTCTCATAACTAGTGTGCAGCTGGTGACTGAGGTATGGGTAGGGCGTGCTGCACACCATAAACAGTAGTGCGCTCAGTCTGTCACAAAAGTGAGCATGGGTTTTACAGTACTTAGCATTTCAACAATGCCATTGGCTGTGTCATTCAATCTCTTTTGCAAGCTAGAAATATAGGGCCCAAAAGAGAATAAAATTCACTGATCTTCTTGACTACTTAGGTCATTTAATGGAATTGTTTGATGGAAATTTTTCTTTTTTGTCTTTCAACTTTACAAGAAGCCAATGGTCGTGTTAGTAGTATATATTGCCTCATTTCACAGATATGTAGTCTGTACTACATGTACTTTACTAATACTTTAGGCCTGAATTACTAGTTATATTACTTCAGATAAGTTACTTAATTCTTCCCGGATTTGGATTTCTTTTCCATAAAGTGAGCGTGAAATAGTATCATATTCATGTGGTTGTTCTGAAGATTAAGTGAAAGACATAATGGAAATCACATAGCACAGTGGCAATAGAGATTGGGAACTGGTTAACATGAACTTTGAGTACTACATTATCACTGTACTGTGTTCACCTGTAAGTATCATATAATGTTATTGTTGACTCCACATCAAATTATTTATTATATACTATCATATATTTGAATTTTTTTTCTTTTATATACAAATGCTAAGAGTCAGAAAAACTCAATGATGTATCTAATGTCACCCTGTTATATTTTTTAAAAAGTGCATACTTTGGAGGTAAATATAGAAGTAAATTAATCAAGAATCTTGAGAGGAAGCTAAATAATCATCAAAATGTCGTCACTACATGATGCTGTTAGCCTTCTAACACTTCAAGAAAGCTTCTGACCAGCCCTTTTAGACTGGAAGCCCAGAATGATGAAGCAGCGGTGTTGGGCACGTTGGTATCCAGGCTCCCTTTTCTCTCCTTAAAAGCACTAGTAATTCCATTTCATTGATTTTTCAGTCCAAGCCACTGGATATTTTTCAGTCCTATAAACTGTGTTTCTCGTGTCTCTTTTTTTCCTTGGTGGGTGATTTCTATGAAACTTTAATCCCAAACTTCTTTACTAAATTGTCAATAATGTTCTTCTAATTGCATCTACAAATCTTTACTGAACATTTCTTGTAAATCAAGAGCTGGGAAGAACAAAAATGAAAGATAAACAGTCTTAATCATGCACAAACAAATAATTATAATACATTCTGCTCAGCAATGCAATGTAAGAAAAGGATCTTGGGTTTTTGTTTGTTTACAAATTTCTTGAATTTTGAGGAGCAAGAAAAGTGGAAAGAAAATGTTTATTAGAGGAGCGAGCAATGGGCAATAGGTCCATACGGTGCTAGAGGTGGTGCAAGACGGAAGTATGTGGGGTATATGTGGAAACATGGAGTATACTACATGACCGAGCACGTGAAAGCTGTCAAAATCAAGCTGGAAATAGGCCGATGACAAGTGATAAGCACTCTGGAGTTTTGACTTCATTGAATAGAGGAGCCATAGGTCAATGATGGTTATAAACTCAGAGTTTTTGATGAGCTAACAGATATGGCGGAGGATGATTGGGGAGATGTGAGAGCTGCTGTTAGGCCCTGATTAAATGAGCATGTGTTAAAAGTGAAAGCTGACTTGAATATTAAGTCTCTGAAAATACAGATACGATGACACACCTCCCAAAGATCAGATCGACCACCACTCAACTTAATGGCTTTCTATCAGCTGCACCACCCCTCCCTTCCACTGCTCCTGACGACGGGGAGAGAAGGCCTTGGTAATGACATGCCCATCAGTCCTCAACCGCATCCCTCGGTTAAAACTGAATTTGCACGATAGCTTTTGGAAAGGCTGTCAACGCGTCAGCGTCGCCTCTGTCGCACTGCTCTGTGGGAGCTGACATTTTGCTGATACTTCATCAGGCTGGACTGCCTGCTGAGAACCAGATTGGTAAGGGAAATGCATCTCACTGCAGGAAAGGACGGGAGATGTATTATTTAAATACAATTTATTTTACAGCAACTTTAAAAATCAGATTTGCAATTGCTTCAGAAAGGGGAAAGCATTTTGTTGCATCTTACCTCTCTGTGATGACACTAAAGATTTAATTGCTCTAAAGTTTTTATTTTTTTAAATTCATCTACGTGTTTTATTTTACATTACCCTGTTCCTATTTCTTATATTTTAGATTAGCTGTCTTTTATTCTATTTTATTTCCCACAGTGCCGTGTCATAAAGGAAATGCCAGCCCTGTTTTGCAGTGGTATGGTAGAAAAAGGTGGAAAATAGCTAAGAGGTTGTTAAAAAGATGCATGAACCCTCTAGATCTGACTTTACATGAATTCCAGAGAAAGTACTAAAGAGCTTGTACGTTCATGTAAAGTAATTTCACATAAACTAACAACATTTTTACCTGCTTTTTGAATCTTGTATCAGTTCTGCACAAGTGATTTTTACCTCAAAAATAAAATAGTCTAGCTAAATAGCAAAATTTTTCTTGATTAAAACTATTTGTTGGTTAATTCATCCCAAACAGTCAAACTGGTTATCTATTTAGAAACAGGACAATATATACACCTGAAAGATAATCACTTCTTAATATCAAAAGAGAACATAAAAGCTAAAAAATCATTCTATGAATTCAGGATGCAGTGTTTACAAGACAGTGGGACAGTGGGGCCATTACTACCTGCTTTGGAAAGCTAATTGTTAAATTTTAAGAAATTATACAAGTCATTCACCATGGTAGGACTGTTATACCACAGGAATAAGTAAATGCTACAACCCAGAGTTTTTTTAAAATTATGGTTTTCAGAGAGTCAATTGAATTTCAGAGAGTTGGCATTTCCCAACTTTTTACTGAGGAAGACTTAGCCTTCTACTCAATAAGATTGTCATGAAGTTTTATCAAATGATGACTTGTTTGTGTGATGGAACTAATATTTTCTTTTCCACATCTTTTTTTTTTTTTTTCAATTTTCTCTCTCTCTCTCCAGTATTTCATAGGCACTTTTGGTTCAGGCATATGCAAATATGACACAAACCAGGGATATAACCAAATGACTGAAAGAAAGAGAGGTTTCCAAAATAAGGAAAATAAAGTGTCCAAAGGAAGTTTACTATGTTCTTTTCTGGTGCTTATTTTACAAATATTGGCAGTACTGATTTATAATAATCAACATTCATAACAGAACAAAAAAGAGTAAATAGTCTTAAGAATAAAATTCAGTCAATCTGAAAAAAAATCATGTTCACTATTATAGGAACATTTAAAATTATTAAATAATAGTTTAAGAATAGACAACTATCAGACACAGATATTTACTCAAGGATTGGTTGAAAAATGATGTTATCACTCCATCTCAGCAGAATTATTAAAGGAAGTGATTGATAAAGGAGTAAATCATATATATATATATATATATATATATATCTCACATATAGGTACATGTTCACACAAATTTATATCATCATCTACATAAAACTCTCCCAACACGACATATTCATCCATGAAAACGGACAGCCTCAGAATAATTCATGGATGTATTATGTGATTGGTTTAAATTATTATCTCCTGGTAGAGAATTAGGTTGTTACCATTTTGTGCTTTTGATATTAGAAATAATGTTAAGATAAAGAAAAAATTAGGACCACTTTTTGATTATTTGCTGAAAGGTCTGACATAAAACTAAACTTCCCTTTAGAGAGATGGTACTTTTCTACCAAAGGTATGAATGCCTGTGAAACCCTCACTCCTGAGAGTGTCATGTGCACACACACACACACATACACACACACACATTCACACACTCACAAAGTCACACGTGCAAATAAATAATCCAGAGGTTTTCTTACAGCGAAGGGAACTTTAAAAAAAAAATTATCCCCAAGTACGTGTATTTATAATCTCCAAACAATGGGATTTACATAAAGTCAGTGTCTTTAGAAATAGCTTTTGGACTCTCCTGCCGTAAAACATACTACCTTTATAAACTGTAAAGTATTTTTACAGTTCGTTATGCAGAGTAACTAGGTTTTAAAATTCTATGAGCACCATACTAGGATATTTAGAAAACTGTTGTATATTTTTCTTCAATTCTAAGCCTTTAAAAAAGTCATACATCCAATTTGTGAAATATGTGTGAAGCATTTTTATGAGTCCTGTCATTCAGTGGCATTCATTTTTTTTTCCAGTGGCATTCATTTTTCTAAATATCTTATTATGCTGATTATATAAATTGTATTTGTGTTTCTGTGTGTGAAATCATATAATAATATATAACACTAAAGTCGAACTGGACTAGCAACTGGGGATTATTTTTCTCCATTTAATTTAATATATGCATCATAATCAGATTGCCAAAAATTTAATAAATATTACTCATCACCAAAATTTTTCAGGACTGTCATAAAATATTCTCTGAAGGTTTCAAGCCCTAGAATGCAAGAATTATAATACAAATATTAAAATAAGTATTTTAAAGAATCAGCAATTTATTTCTTCCTTGACTTGTTTATATTTTAACATTTAAAAACAATTTTATTAGTACATGTTTACCATACATAATGATTACATTCAAGAGTTTCATTTAATCTGAGTAATTTGCACCTGCATGTAACACATTTTAATTCTTTTTTTCCTATTCCTCTTTGCTCCATCCATCTCCTCTTCTCCTTCCTCTTTACAAAAAGTTGTTTTCATTTTCCCTTCCATTTTCCTTTATTTAATCTCTTCTTACTTCCTTCTATTCCCTCTTTTCTTACCTTGTTCCTCTTCTCATCTGGATACATTATTTGTTCTTCACTGTATCTGTCTTCCATTTGGCTCCTTATTTACCCTTTGAGTTTCTCACACGATAGAAACAATGTGATATTTAAACTGTGTGTCTGATTTTTTTCACTTAAACTATGGTCTCTAGATGCATCCATTTTCTTAACATCTCAAGTTTGTTCTTCTTTATGACCAAGTAGTATCCTGCTGTATATAAAAACCACGTTTCTTTATCCATTTGTCTGTTGCTGGACATATGTCTGTTTCCAAGATTTAGCTATTATAAACTTCACTGATATAAACATGGTTATGCATACATTATGGTAGTATGATCCTATTAACTACCTCAGGGAGACATCAGAATAGTTGAGTTAAATGGAACCTCTAGATTTAATTTTTTGAGGAATCTCTATATGATTTTGTAACAATTTACCACTTTCACCAACAGTGGAGAAGGGTATCTTTTACCCCACAAGCTCATCAGTATTTGTTATTGGTTGATTTCCTGAACATGATCATTTTTTCTGGCATGAAATGGAATCTTGGTGCTGTTTTAGTTTGTAATTCTTAAATGACCACTGATGTTGAACATGTTTTCATACATTTATTTGCCATTTCTACTTCTTCATCTGAGAAGTGCTTATTCATCTTAGATGCCCATTTTTAGGTTAGGTCTTTGAATTTGGAGCGGTCTGATTTTTTGGAATTCTTTACATCTTCTAGATATTAGTCCTTTGTTGGAAAAGTAGCTGGTAAAATTTTTTTTCCCATTCTGTGAGTTGTCTTCATCCTGTCAGTGGTTTCTTTTGCTGTATAAAACCATTTTAATTTGATGAAATCCAGTTGGTGGCTCTTTGTAATATTTCCTTTGAAATTGTGATTTTGTTCATAAAGTCTTTGATGACATCTATGTCTTTAAGAATTTCATTTAATCTATCTTCTAGAAAATTAATTGCTTCATTTTAATATTTGATCCATTTTGTTTTAAATTTATAGCATGGTGAGAGATATGTCTAGGTTTAATCTTTGGCAAGTGGAATGTCAGTTTTCCCAGCACGATTTATTAGAAGGGCTTTCTCCCAGGGACGCTTGGCTCCTTTGTCAAAGGCTAGATGAGTGTGCTTGGATTTGTGCTTGGAGGTGTTTTTGCATTTTCTGTTCTGTTCAGTTGACCCTCGAGTTTGTCTTTTTGCCAGTACTATGATGTTTTTATCACAGTAAATTTGTATTATAACTTTGAATTGGGGATTTCCGTGTTCCTGGCCGTGTCTTTGATCCCCACAACTGCTTTTGGTCTTCCAGACCTCTACTGATTCCACATGAATCTTAGGGTGGCTTTCTCTAGCTCTGTGAGGTATGTTGTTGGTATTTTGATTGGGATTGCATTTAATCTGTATGAGACTTTCAGAAGTATAATCATTTTCACTATGTTTTTTTCTACCGATTCAAGAACAGGTGATAATTTTTCATTTTCTGATATTCTCTTTGATTTTGTTTTTCAATGTACTGTAGTTTTCCGTGTAAAGGTCTTTCACTTCTTTCCTAGGTTTATTCCTATTTCTTTCCTTTCTTTTTTTTTAAATTGCTAACATGAAAGGAATTATTTCTCTAATTTTTCTCTAAGTGAGTTTGTTACTCATATACAGGAATGCCACTGATTTCTCTTCACTTGTTTTTAAACAGCCTGTTTTTATTGTTGAACAATGTCAACTATGTAAACTTTATTATTTGCTTAATAACTATTCCATTAAAATTGGTTAGACAAGAGAAAATGTCACTTCACTGCAGAAATAGTAAGTGGTACCTTTGAATATGCAAATCTTTACCTTTAAGCATTTGTTTTTGTTAAGCAAATGAGTAGGTTAGGGGATAGTTGGCAGCTGCTCTGGCAAACTTTTACACTATTTGAAAAGATTGTCAATAGTGCCAGAATGACAGTCCCGAAAGAAACACTATCCAGTATATATAGACAAATTGTCAGGCAAAGACCTCACACTATCAGTTTTGCTTATCTTTAGGGGCTAGAGTAATATGTTTCCCAAAATGATGAGATGATTAGCGATGTGCTAAATACTTTCTTCTGTTACATTTTGAATTTGTGGTTTATGTTTCTGGTTTTAGTTGTTAGCTGCTTTACAGGAAGTCCTAAGCACTCTAAGCTAATTCAGATCACTTCTCAGTTCTCCCATGTAAAGTGAGAGATAATCACAAACACCAGACTCGTGCTAATCTGTATTAGATGAATTTGAAATAGCAATGTAGAAATGCCATCATTATCAACCAGTCCACATCTCCAGGCCACTCTGTTTCACTGTGGATGGAGACAATAACAGCCAGGGTTAGCGTGGGTTTAAGTAAGAATGACAACCAGTAAAGGATATGGTAGGATAGTAACCTTAACTGGCTCTTTGAAATAAGTTCAACTTAGCTAATCACTCTTTGGTGGCCTATAATATGCTTCGATTCTGACAAGAATAATATTTCCTGTCCAGAATTTCTTAATAGTCCTTTCAGAATAAGTTTAAATTCTAGAGTATATTAAATTTGTTCCAAAAATGGCTATAATTCTATTCCCCAACTAGCAGGTCTTTGGCAATGATACTATACCACTCTTCTACACCAGGGAATGGAATCTCTGTCTCCTCCCAAATCTGGCTTGTCTTTCGATTTGCTTTTACCAGCAAAATGCAGTGGAAGCAGTAGTGTGTGGTTTCTGAAGCTAGTACTGTTGACATCTTGTAGTTTCTGTTCCCATGCTGTCAGAAAGCTCCAGCTTGGAGTGCTGTACTGAAACCTTTACGCTATGGGGAAGCCGAGCTGACCAAGTAAAATGCTGTGCAACAGAAAGGCCAGCTTCCTTGGTCGAGAAGCCAGACAGATCTCATCTGCTCCCATATAATCAACCTGACAAAAGAGCCATGAGACTCCACATGAAAAACCATCTTGTCAACCACAGAATCAGGAGAGATGAGATAAATCACCATTTTAAACCACAGAGGATTGAGATGGCTTGTTGCACAACATATTGTCAAAATTTTTGCTAACATAACAATGCCTTGTGTACCAGTTAGGTAAATAAGGATTTATGGAAGCTAACCGTTTTTATTGACTGTTGATTATCCTGTCTAGGTTTCTTACTTACAGAGAGCACAGGATTTTACTGTGTAACCAGGAGTGTGACAGGCACCAGCTTTATTTATTTTTTTCAATGACCTCCATTCTCATAGGATCCACAGGAGAAGCAGCAGAATTTTGATCCCCAGAGGCTATCCGGGCAGGTTGGTAAAATAAACCAGAAAAACAGTGCTCAGATAGCTCAAGACACTGACGACAGTCCTTAAGTCCTGTTGCTTAAGTAAGTTGGCAAATTGTGTGTGTGTGTGTGTGTGTGTGTGTGTGTGTGTGTGTGTGTGTTGAGCTACAAAGAAAGAAATAGTCTAGTAGCCTCTGAGGATTTACAACACTTCCAAAAATATTCCCTGAAGAAATCAACATGATGCTATATCTTGTCACTTTAGAAACACAGATACAGTGGTTGGCTTTTTGCTGAAAATGTGGTTTTTCAGACAGTAACAATGGAAGCAATTTTGATATATATCTTTGAAAGCAATTGCACAGAACAAAACATGAAAATGAGATGTAATTTGTAAAGGAATCTCAGGAGGATAGTGCTCCAGAAGTTGCCCTCCGCACTTGGCTAAATCCTTTGTTCATCTTCATTTTTTTTCTAAACCAGAATAATCTTGGCAGGGGTTCATAAATGGTGTACTTTATGAAAGTGTACCATGCATAAGGTGGCCAAGGAGAAACTGTACGCTGCTTCACTGAATGTTTTGAAGAGGACAGGTGGCACAGCAGGGCTCAGGTGGAGGTTTAGGCACATGTCTGATCATCAAAAACCACTGCGAAGGTAAACCTTGTGGAAAGCATTTCTTCAACACGGAGAAAACAATGCAACTTTCTCCAAAGTGTGGCAGTTGTAGATAGTTACATCAAACTAAGTAAGACTGAGAAGAATCTTCTGTACTAGACAGAGTCTCTGAATAACAGAATTATATTTTCTGAAATGTCCACACCTTATTTGTTGATCATGTGCACTGTATCAAGAAGTCTGTGTCAGTTCATATTTCCTTGAAAATTCTCCTCTAACCTCATTTCTTTTTGCATGAGGCTCTGAGAGGCCAAGTGACTTACTGTACTTTGCAAAGCTAGCAACTGTTAAAGTTAGGATTTGAACCCAGATCTTCTGAAACGGATGTACTACACCCAACTTGATAAACTAGGCACTTAGCACCTTTCTAGTCAGTTAACTTGTGTTTAGAAAACCACTGGAGTTTGGTTTTTGAAGTTCATCTGACATGGAGCTACTTTAACAAAAGTCTATATCATGTGACATGGTCACTGTATAGGACTCCTTACATGAATGGAAGTCTCTGCTGCGCCACGGTTCTTCCATCCTCAATGGTCTGCCTGCCACCGGAGTCCAACGTACCCCAGGCTGCGTGCGTACTAACCAACGCACGCCAAAGACACTGACTGCCTTTGTAACAAAACAGTCTTTGTTTTCCTGTTCACAGGTTAGTTGCAGAAACCTGCTCGTCTGTTCTTAGAAGTCATTCCTCAGAGCTAAACAAGGCCTGGGGTTGATTGTGGAGAGTACTACTCATTAGTGCCATTGAAACAATTTGGAATCTGTAATTATTCATCGGCAACCCAGACGTGATCTGAAGTTGAGATTTTAAGCATATGTCTAGCTCTCAGAGTACTTGGGCTCCTTCACTCTTTTAAAAAGGAGAAAGAAAAACAACAGGCCTGATTTTCATCATGCACGACGCTTAAAAAGCTCTTTTTGCCTTGATTTCAGCTGCCAATCATGTTGGGCCCATTCACCCACTCCAATCTGATTCATAATTTCATTTTGTGGTTAGACAAAAATATCAGAATTGGACAAAGTTATCTGACTGAAAAATAATATGTTTTCCAGTGATTATGGTGACCTCTCTATTTTGCTGATTTACATATACTTTCAACTCATTTTCTTTCACAGTGGGAATCTCAGAGGCATTTTCCAATAAAGTACATTCAGCAGTTGCTTTAAGAAAATGTTATCAGGATAAATTAAATTTACTTAGATATGTGGATATGGAATTATATCCTTCTGCTCTGATTTTCAGGGCACGACTTCTCCCAAGGGGAGATGGGCGTAAAAGTCTGCTGGGACGAGAGTGAGTGTGTAAGACCCGCTCTCAGACACATGCTCAGCCTACCGTGCCTCCAGGGTCTTCTCTTCTTCATAGAAACTCACGTCTGCCACCCAGACAGCCCGCTGTCCATCGGCCTACGTGGATGTCACCGTTCGCAGGCTCTGGGTCCATCTGCGGAGCAGTCACACTGCCCTTTCCCTTCAGCTCCAGGAAGGTCTTGCAGACACGGAAGCCGGTGCTGAAAGGAGTGAGTGAAGACGCACGAGTGTCAGAGACAACGTCCAGCCCACCGTCTGCCTCCCCAAGTGGACGGCATCTGCGAGCTCCCGTCCAGACCAGCCGCTTCCTGTTTTAAACCAGATTGCTCTTTGAAGCTTTGCAAAGGCAGTGTCATAACTTACCATTGGTTAAAATCTCTTTGTTGTTTGCTTGGTATTTTATATCAAAGATAAAAAGTGTTTTGATATCACTCTAAATAAAATAGTAATTCTCAAGGCAAAATACATGTCAAAACAAGAAAAAAATTTATAAGTAATAAAAAATGAACCATAAACATTTATAGGTTAGTTAGAGAAAACTTTTCCCGAGAAATGTCTATGTCGAGATGGCTGTAGGAGTTTGGGGGATACTCTACGGAACAAAAGCACAGATATCCTTTCCGTGTGAAGTTCAGACTCTCTAAGGAAATGATCAGTAATAAATATTAGACCTTTAAAAGATCTAATCATCTAGCTATGTGATATGCTAGACGATGACAAGTAATATAGAAAACCAAAAAGTTAAGAGAAACTTGCCACCTGCAATTTTAAATAGGGTGGCTCAGATAAGATTTGGTAAAATAAAATGATGAGAGGCTTTCTGAAAACTTAAAAAAAGAGTCATACAGATACTAGAAGAGCAGTATTTTGTGAGTCTACAAGACAGGGGCAGCATTACTCACATCTCAGAACACAATTTTCCAAATTTTATGTGCAACTACATGAATATATTTATATGTTACTTATAGAGTCATGTATTTATTTTAAAATTATGTAATATCTTGAAATTTGAGAAAGAGTAATACTGAGGACCATATAAAATTGTCTGTGGCTAAGTAGCTTTGAATTGCATTTATTTGATCAAGTTTTAGATATAGAGACCAAATCTCCAAATCTGAAAACCAGCAGTGATTTGGTTGATTAGTTCAGTTCAAAGAAGGTATTGTCAAATTTTACACTTTTCAGATAAGATCTTCGGCTTTGTGACCTTTCTCCCTTTCTCAAAGCCAGCAAGCAGAAGACAAGGTTAAATAACTTTAAATAACTTGTTCTGTGTCTCAGTTTCCTCTCCTACACATAGGGGGAAAATAAAGCATACCCAGCTCCTGAGGACATTAATAGTTGACTAATTAATGATAATAAGATGCTGAACAACTACTGAGTATTATTATTAGAGAGGAAAGAAAATCTATCATCAGATTGTACATTTCTGGCATCTGTTGCCTTGGTAACTAGATTTGCAGGTGCGACTACCATTTTTGGCATTGCATTCCAGGGTGTTCTCCCCCACACACTGACATTCAGGAGCATAGCCAGTTCTCCAGACCCCCTTGGGACAGTCTGCAAGCAGAATGAAGTGAACTGGTCACCTGAAAATCATGCTTTGTTTATTTTAAATCGTTAGTGCACAGGCATGTTGCTCTTGTAGGGTCTGATTATAAGGAAAACAAGGGGATCATCCTAACTGCCAAGGGGGGTGAAAAAAAAAAGAAATGTCTTTCAAATCAGGCAATTCATTTGCTTTTTGGCAACTGGATGTGAATAGTGAAGCCTGAACTACTTAAAAGGCTTTGGTGCTTCCGGGAGCGAAATTGCTTCTCAATGTGCTCCATCCGCGCCTATAGTTAATATTCTCAAAGGATTTCTACGGTTGCCAGGTCTCATAGCCATCCTGCTACAAGGAGGAGATGATGGACAAGCATTTATGTGAAGGCTTGCCATTGTTTTCCTCCCTTTCATTGTATGAGAATTGGAAATAATTTTACATCCTGCAGATAACACAAGGCTTTCATTATGATAGCAGCATTATCTTGACCTTATCTTAGGCAAATGGTGGTTCCTCCCCCACCAACATGTTGCTGAATTTTAGGGATAGCAGTATCAGAACTGTAATTTGAAAATGTCTCATCTTTGCGTTTAAGAAAATATACTCATAGTTGTCTCTTTGAAGAATTTCTTTATTCACTCAGTTGCCTTTGAAAAATGTACTTCTGACAATTTTGTTTTCCCTCATTATAAATGTCCCAGAAGTTATCAAATGAAAGATACTTCCAAACGCCCTCCAGGCTCAAGGCATAGTTTTGTGTGCCCTTAGAGGCTTTGCTATAGAAACTTGCTTACAGAAGATAAGACGAGTAATTTGCCTTTCTGGTAGACTGAAAGAGCATTGGTAGAGATCAAAGTGCTGGTTATAATGGCACTGTGCAGGAGGATCCTTGTTGCCAAGGAAAGTCCAGAGTTAGCTTTAAAGCAGAGTTATTTACAAAATCTTTTACACGGAACTTGTTCAACTTGGATACTGAGTGATATAGACTCTATCACTTTTTCTATGACTTCCAAATTTGGAACCCTTTTCCAACCCTTAAACCACTGTCTCACAGTTGACAGACTGCCTTGACATAGTACTCTTCTTATTCATTCCAGAATATTCTCCCTTGGTGGTCTTCCATACCTTGTGCTTCCTGGTTCAACATGTACAATTGTGGTTCAGGAAACAGTTCAGCCTAACAGAGTGCTTGCTTATGACAACTGGGTATAAGAACATACAATTGGAAATGTGTTTAGAGAAAAAACAAAAAAATAGCAGCAATCTATGTTGGTAATCCAGTGTCTACTTTGGATTTCTTGTTCATTGAAACATATCCTTCAAGAATTTAAATACTGAATTTCTAATTCTCAGTATCTCAGATGTCCCCTTATTTGGAAATTAGGTCTTTGCAGATATAATTGCTTAAGATGAAGTAATATTGGAATAGGATTGGGTTGTGATACAATGTGACTAGTGTCCTTATAAGTAGGAGAAATTTTATAAAGACATGTTCATAGGAAGAGCACAATATGAAGACAGGGTTATGCTGACACAGGATATGGAACTGCCAGAAGCTAGGGTTAGTGTGGAAAGATTCTTCCTTTGCCTCTCCAAGGGAGCAGGACCTTGCTGATACCTTGAAATTAACCTTCTAGCCTCTAGAACTGTGGGAAAATATGTATTTTTTTTAACTTAAAGCATTCAGTTTGTGGTATTTAGTTATGAAAGCCTTAAAACTAATGTAGAATCATAAACCCAGTCTTCTCAGGGCCAGTCAAATAGCATGAATAAACGAGGCCTCCTGTCCAAGGATAATTGAATCTTAAAGAACTAGAACATACATGCTTTCCTAGGACCACATTCAGACTTCTGACCACCACCGCCATCACCACCACCACCGCCAAACCTGTTTGCTGAATTTGTTCCTTATTTTCAACTCTCTAGAACACGAAGATGAATAAAAGTGTACTAGGCTGATATTTAAATCTTAAAATCTTCAATTTTACATGTTTTTAAAAAGTTAGCCTTTGAATTTTGGCCAGATGCATTATGAATTACTGTTTTCAGCTCAGGTATCTCATACTGTTTTACAAGATACCAAAAAGCTATTACTAAATGTAGGGTTTATCTTGCTGTATTTTAAGGACAGTAGTACAATGGTGCTGTCTTTATTCTAGTCCGGTTTGATTCTCTGAGCCTATTCGGGGAAGTATCTGATTCTGACCACAACACATGCACCTCCACTGTGCACTTGTCCATGCTGTACCTCTTTCTCTAAGGCAAACATTTTTTCATGATCCAGGTTCAGTTTTCAGGGATTTGTTCACTGCTTGTCTTACTGGGGTATGTGAATTCCACGTTCTCCAGGCGCATGCCTTTTATGTATATTTAAAACCTATGGACATTCAAATAGCATTAAACTATAAAACTCTGAGGTGCTTGTGATTAAGAAATAATCATGCTACTACTGAGAGTAATGGTATGTATGTTTGTGCCCTCCCAAAATTCATCAACTTGACGGTATGTGGAGTTGGGGCCTTTGAGACATTATGTTATATATGTACAGCCCTACTGAGTAGAATCAATGCTCTTACAAGACAAACCCCAGAGGTCATCTGCTTGTGTCTCCGTATGAGAGCACAGTGAAGGCACTGTCTCTGAGCCAGCAACTAGGCTTTCACAAGACTCACAAAATGTGGAGCTTGATCTTGGACTCTCAACCTCCAGAATTAAATGCATGTTTGTTTTTTATAAACTACTTAGTTTATAGTGCTCTGTTATAGCAATCTAAACAATCTAAGAGACTAAAGCTTGCTTACAAAAGACTCTCAGAGGAACCAGTTCTTTTAAGGGTAAGAGGAAGAACTTAGAATAAACAGCAGAGTGTGCTGAGGTCCTTTCTGTCTGTGTAACCTGCCCACAGCTTCAGGTGGATAAGACTTTCAGAGTTATCTTGTTTGGAGAAACCCTAAAAGATATAATTGGGTGAATCTATCTATCTATCATTTATCGTCTATCTATTTATTGCTGAATGTGCTTTTTGAATGTTTTGACATGTTTTCAAAATGCCAAATGAAGAATGCTTTCCAGAGATTTTAAGGAATAATACTGTTTTACACTACAACCCAGGAGACTTGTTTTGGATCTTGGTATTTAGCTGTTGTAAAGCAGCAAATGTGCTAAACAAACTATTATTTATCCTCACTCAAAAATTAATAAAAATATTAACCAGAAAAAAATCTAAGAGTTCAGAAATGTTTTCATTCATCAGTGTCTAGAATCTGTAATTTAGAAGGCTAAAGATGGAAACATATTCTATGCTATCTATCACCATATAAAATATTTTTCCTCTGCTCCTTTGTCTTATATGTCCTCCATCCTTCTCTGAGCTGTAATGCTTCACACAGAGCTCAATTAGTGCTTGTAAGTTACTCAGATGACAAAGCTTCCTGTATCACCCTGGCTCTCACACACAGGCACTATACATCCTGTAGCAATGACCATTGTAGGTATAGTTACATTTTCTTCTGCAATTCTTCCCAAAGAACCCTCTCAGGCATTCTGGAAGGTGAAGAATAAACAACAAATATTAACCCACATGTAAAACTTGCTGATGTTATTTTTAAGTGAAATAAGCTTGAAAAAGGTGAGATGAATTGAAGCAAGAGAAATCTTTTGAAAACTATGGATAGTATTCTTCATCTTTAGCTTAAAATCTTATAGTCACCTGCCTTTGCTCCAGATTAAAATCCCGGATTGAGCCCTGAGTTTGCACTGGTTGAGTCATGTCACAGTGCTGTCTCTGACTGTTTATTCAGTCTTAGGGCTCTATAACGCCTCCCACACCTTCTTTCCTTGTCTGAAGTGCTCTTCTTTTTCTCTTCTCCATCTCTTTCTTCTCATTCTGCATGCTTCTACTTACGACACTCCTCCAGAAGGCTCTCCTGGTCTCTTATGCTTACTTCCACCATGCATTAATATTTATTTGTAAAACTTATCAACTTTTGTGACCCTTGTTTGTCTTGAATAAGACTGTATGTCCCATTTGGAGAAAACAGAATCTTTTCTATTTATTCATTATGGTCATATCAGAATGCCAACCACAGTTCTTTGCAACCACATAGTATCTTTAATAATTACGCAAACATTGCTCTCAGAGATAAGCAACTGGGATGCTATCAGGAACAGAACATGCCCCAAAACATGGAGTAAATTTGGTTTCCAACTCCTGGGTTCCATAGACTCTAATTCTTATATATGCTCCATTATTTCTAGAAATCCCTGAAAACTAATATTCTTATTGACTTTCTGCCTTCAACCCTTGCCTCTGAAGAAGCAGTTTGGTTGTGTGTGTGCATGCAAGTGCATGTGTGTGTGTGGTTGTGTGTGGGTGCACACTTTGCCAACCCATTCATTTCCTGTCCATTCATGCCTCTCCATTCATGTCCATGGAAAATAATTCAAGTTCAGTGTGTTCTGGATTTGGTGAGATTTTCATCCATTATTTTCCTTCTTACTTCTCTATCTCTTCTCCTTTATTCTATGAATTTCATCTTTTTTCTTTACTGTTGGCTTTAGGGGCTCCATTTTTTCCTATTACACAAGGCAAACAAATTCTCCCAAGGTGCTGCATCCAAACCTGCATACACAAACTCAGCTTTTTATTCAACAGAAAAAAAAAAAAAACAGACAAGTAAAGCTTTTATTGTGTATCAGCTCAGAGCATAGCTGGTGATTTATGTATCACTTATTTTGTTCTGTTACACAAAGTCAAAGCAATGTATTCTTGTACATATAGATAAGGATTTTATACTCTCTGAAAAAAGCCACTTCGAAAGATAAAGATGCACCTTAGATCATTTCCATTAAAATCCCCAGAAATTAAAGCGTGGTCTTGTGGGACTGGTGCCAGGCATTCCTACCATGAATCTCCAGGGTGTACTGGCACTGCCCATGCAGATGATCACAGGTGCCTCCATTCCAACAGTCACAGATGCTGCCACTCCCATGAGTCTCTAGCAAATAAGTGAATAAAACAGGAAAGATGAACAAATAGAGGGGGAAGAAAAGTTTGACTTTCTATTAGGATGGATACCAGGTAACTAAAATATCAGTAGCTTGCAGGCACAGGAAAAATCTCTGGCATACTCCTAGTTTGTGTGACATAATCATTTCTAGGGGATTATTGATACAGCTAGTTAAAATAATGATGACTGAAGGAACTGTTAACAAAGTTCAAGTTCAGATTATATAACTCATCCTGTAACTCTAACCCTTAAATTTTTCAAAGCTCCCCAGATACCTTAACTGTCAATTCCAGCCTACCTCAATGAGAAGCAAACTATATCTTCTTATTTTGAAAAGCTATAAGGAAACACAGAAAAAAAGTTGTGCATTTTTTAACAGGAATAAATCTAGATAATATTCTCTTGAAGGTTTCCAGGTCAAAGATTAATGCATTGTCAAAGATTAATGCAGTTAAGCAAACAATAATTTTCTTTGGCTCACTGGGTGTTTTAGGAAGTAGTATTTGAATAAAATATATATTGAAAGAAATGTCTGGAACTTTATTTTAACTTGAGTAAATAAAGATGTTCAGATAATTTCAGTAATCATTTTAACTGAAATTTTATAGGGTAAATATTATAAAACTGTATTTATGTCATCTCCACTACATTTCTTCCCCTCCACTCTGAGTACTAATATGGAGCTTAGCTTCCTATTTACCTTTTGCTTTGCACTCAAGCCATAGACTATTATGAAAGGGCAAGAAAAAAGAAAGAGGGAAGCAAAATGAAGAGGAGAGGAAGAGACAAGAAAGGAATATTTGTTAAGGTCTACATTGTTAAAGTACTTCAATAAGTCTTTAACTCTTATAATAACTATAGGAGAGACAATTTTAAAAAATATTCCTGTTAAATGAAGCTAAAGAATTTGAAAAGGGTTTTTGAGTTCCTACATTAAAGAAAGTCATCATTGTAAGCCAGCCAATCTGTCACCCAATACATTTGCACAAGAAGACTATGATATATAAAGCTTGCTCCATGAACCTAGGAGTCAGCAAATCATTGGCCTTACCAACCTCCTCCATGGTCGCTTCATGGACCTTGGGGTCAGCAAGTTGTTAGCCTTCCTCTACTCCTCACAAGGGAACGTAGGAGTCAGCAAATCATCAACCTCACCCTCCCACTCAACAAAATACAGCATCCCATAGAAAACTAGTGACCCTTTTCACCACCTACAGAACCTTGGCGGGCTGGTGGAAGCCTCAGTAACCCCTCACCCACAAAGAGAACCTCAGCGGTCTTATGACAGTGTGCTGAGTTTCTCCCTCAAATAAAGGACCTCAATGGGTAAACAGGAGCAGCAATGAACTCCTCCTTGCCATAGGACCCTGACGAGTCTGGCAAGAGTGTGGGTGAGTCCTTCTTCCATACAGAGAACACCACGTGGTTGAAGAATGGCTGATAAGGCCTCCCCAGCCTGGAGGAAATCAAAAGGGCCTATGAAACACCTACTGACACAGTGGGGTCCCAGCTGAAGTGCACACTATAGCCAGGTAGATCTGGCAGCCAGGAAGAGCCTGAAGCTGTAGTAACAATAGGAACAAAGGAGTTAACTTACATCAATACTCCTATGCTAGTTAGCCTAGGAAGAATACAGGCCTCACCCAATAGGCCCTGCAGGAGGAATGCAAGTGACTGGCCTTCCCTTTCATTGTGGGACAAGCAATTGGACAAACATCAACACACAGCAGGACTCTAAGGCACACAATGGACAGTTGAGACTAGTGGGATTGAAAAGACCAAAATATTAACCCAAGAGGTGAAAACGACAAAATGAAAAAGCAAAATGCATTCTCAAAGTCCAGTCCATCAGGAACAAGTTCAGGAAACATCAAAACAGAGGACATTAGAAGTCATACACCTGAAATTTCTAAAAAGATAGCGAGTGAAATAAAGAAACAAATCCATGAGGTTATAGAGAAAATCAGATTAAAGATAATCTCTCATGTAAAGAAAGAAATGACAACCTTAATAATGGAGTTGCATAGCTAGAGAAGATATAGATTTAAAAAAAAAGTATAGGAGCTTGGGAAAATGATGGAAACCTTGAATGAACAATACAGAAAAGAAGTAGAATACATGAGACAAATTCAAAGAGCTATCTGGAAATAAAAAAATTCTACTGTAATTGGTGAAGTCATTTGAATGAAGCTGAGCATAGAATTTTGGACCTTGAGGACAGGAGTGCAGCTAGCAATCATGAAAGGAAAGAATTTTTAAAAAATAACAAGACAGCATGGAATGACAATTCAACAGCCTCAAGACAATGCAAAGAGAAACAATATAAGATTGATAGGCAGCAATGAAGATGCAGGAGTCAATGTGAATAACATGGATAAACTATTTGCAGAAGTAATAGCAGAAAATTTCCCAAACAAGGAAAAGAATCAGATATAAAAATAAGTGAGGCATGTTGCATGCCATTTATAACCGAAATAAATCTACAACCAGACATATAATAATTAAGATCCTAGAAATTCATCATAAAAACAGAATACTAAAAGCTATTAGAGAAAAGCACAACTCACCTCTCACGGAAAGCCCATTAAAATCATGGCAGACTTCTCAGCATAAATACTCAAGTCAAGAAGAGCTTGGAGTAAAATGATTCAAGATCTGAAAGAAAACAACTCTCAACCCAGATTGATGTACCCTGCAAAACTTTCTTAAAAAATTAATGGAGAGATAAGACACTTTCATGACAAAGAACAACTGAAGAAATTCATGTCCACCAAACCAACCCTAGACAGAGTACTGAAAGACATACTAGATAGAGATAAAAATGACTACAGTTTGCAGAAAACAATAGAAAGAAATCACCAGACAAAGCAAACAATTAAAGAACAGAGAAAAACAGGAAACCAACAGCAGAAAAATAACATGACAAAGTTGAACCAGCACATATCAGTTATATCCATCAATGTAAATGGCCTCAATTCACCAATTAAAAGAAACACGTTGACAAAATGCATCAAGAATCAGTATCCAACAATATATTTTATACAAGAAACACGTCTGACTCAAAAGGACTGACTTTTAGTCAGTCAAAGATGCAAAACAATATTCCATGCAACAGGAACTCAGAAAAAAATCAGGGGTAGCTATTTTGTTTGCAGACAATGTAAACTTCAGACAAAAAATGATCAAAAGTGATAAAGAAGGTCATTACATACTTGTTAGGTGAATAATTCAAGAGGAAGAGCTAACAATCATAAATATATATGCATCAAATATAGGAGCAGCCAACTATATAAGACAAATACTAATAGACATTAAAAAAAACAAATATTCAACAACACAATTGTAGTAGGGGACCTTAATATCCCATTTTCACAAAGAGATAGATCAACCAGGCAAAAAAGTTGGTAAAGAAATAACAGAACTGAATCAAATCTGTGAATAAATGGCGTGAGTAAATGTTTGCGGAACGTTCCACCCAACCACATCAGAATACACACTTTTTTTCAGCTGCGAATGGGACATTCTCTAAAATAGACCACATATTAGCCCATAGAACATTCTTAAGTAAATGCAAAGGGATTTATCCCATGCATATTATCTGACCATAGTGCACTGAAATTGGAAATTAATGACAAAACAAACTATAAAACATACATAAACAAATGGAAATTAAATAACAACCTTTTGAACAACCAATGAGTTGCAAGTGAAATTAAGGAAGAAATTAAACAATTCCTACAATTCAATAAAAATGCACATACAACATGCTGAGACCTGTTGGACACAATGAAAGTGGTTCTAATAAGAAAATATATAACAATAAGTTGTCTCATCAGGAAAACAGAATGAGCACAAATAAAAATATAATGTTACACCACAAGTTTCTAGTAAAAGAAGAGTAAGTCAAGCCCAAAGCTCATAGAAGAGAGGAAATTATAAAGATCAGAAAGGAAATTAATGCAATTGAGACTAAAAAAAACAATTACTACAGATCCCATAGAAATTCAAAAGATCATGAACACCTACTTGGAAAATCTTTACTCACATAAGGTGGAAAACATGGAGGAAATTGAGAGATTTCTAGAAATGTATGAATTATCAAAGCTGAATCAAGAAGATATAACAATTTTGAATAACCTAATATCAGCTATTGAAATTGAAAATGTGATTACAAACTTACCAACAAAGTAAAGCCCAGGTCCTGATGGATTTACAGCTGAAGTCTATTAGAAATTTAGAAAAGATTTAATGCTAATACTCCTCAAACTCTTCAGTGAAACTGAAAGGGGAGCAATTCTTCCTAACTCATTCCTGCAGGCAAGTATTACTCTGACACCAAAATCAGAGGAAGAATCAACCAAAAAAGAGAACTATAGGTCAATGTCCCTAATGAACACTGATGCAAAAATTCTCAATAAAACACTGGCAAACACAAAGTAGCAAATCATCAAAAAGATTATGCATCATGAACAAGTGGGATTTATTCCAGGAATGCAGGGATGGTTTAACATTTGCAAATCAATAAATGTAATACATCACATCTACAGAGCCAAAGACAAAAATCACAAGAGCATCTCAATAGACACAGAAAAGCTTTTGATAAAGTTCAACACTTATTCATGATAAAAAAAAAAAAACCTGCAGAAACTTGTAATAGATGGTGTCTACCTCAATTGGATAAAAGCCATCTATGACAAACCAACAGCCAACATTATACTAATGGACAAAAATTGAAAGCTATCACTCTAGGGGTTGGGGATTTAGCTCAGCAGCATAAGCGCCTGCCTTGCAAGCAGGCAGTCGTGAGTTCGATCCCTGGTACCGATAAAAACGAAAAAGACAAATTAAAAAAAAAAAAAAGAAAGCTATCACTCTAAAGTCAGGAACAAGACAAGGATGTCCACTATCATCACTCATATTCAATATAGCTCTGGAAACATTAGCTGGAACAATTAGAGAAGAGAGAGGGAAATAAAGGGAATAAGGAT